GATAATCTGTTGTCTGATATTATCAGTCCTGAGATAACCAGCTTTCGTTATATCATCAGACTTACCTTCTGACTAGTACTAGATGGTCTAGATTCTTCTGGTCATGTTTGGATCCTCTTCCTAAGTAGATTGCATTGGATTCTCACCATAACAGATACGGTGCCTCCTTTAGTTCTGGCAGTTGAAGGGGTGTAGCATAATTTTCATAAGAGGAGTGTGCAGTGTAACTTATTTTCATTTGCAAAATTAACTTTATGGGGAAATGTAGACTTAAAGATTGGCAAGGAAATGCTTGGTGGACTTGAATAGAGAGGATGATTTTGACTTTGTAGCAGCTTATAGGTCCTGATAACTTTCATTTTTTTGCTTTCCATTCTAATTATAAATTAACAGCTATGGCTGAATGACAATATATGAAGTTCAAACATGTATAATCCATGTTTGGACTTCCTGCTTTATTGGATTATTGAAAGTATTGATTGAAGCTGAACATCTACTTTAGACTGCAGTCATTGACTGATAAATATCATCAGTCTGTAGATATGGTATGCAGGTTTGAAGTAATCCAGAATCTATTTTGGATGTGGTAATGGATCTCAGGTTACATTTAATTCAGCAAAAATCATGCTTTATGTATAGAGGACAGTGCAGCTGGTCAGTTGTTGGACTGTTCAATTGGCTTAAAGATATATGTGTCTTACGATGTGTTAAAATTGAATGGAACCTGCAATTAATAGATGGCACTGAACTAAACAAGCTAGTATAAATCCGAAGGACTATTGCATAAATAAGAGTACACATCTACCTTCCGTTTCATTTTGTTTCAGACTAGTAAACTTTTATGCTGCTTTCTTTGTACAAGTTAAGTTTGTGTACTGATGATCACTTCCATACTTTTAGGAATAGCTTGGTCTCATATGGCTATTAGTAGAGTGGCTACTTAATAAAACAGACTATCTTGTTGCCTGTCCTGTTGATCATCCTTGACATCTGATTGGTGTTCTAGAGTTCATTAAGTTCTTTTAGATGTGTTTCAGATACTCTTGCAGTTATGGCCTGGAATAATGCATGGAATATATGGAATTAATTCTTCCCTCCTTTTTATTAAGGGACAAATTCTGAGCTGTCCAATCCCTCCGAAACAGAATCTGAAAGGAAAGATGAACTTAGCGATTGGTCGTTAGCAGGCGATGACGACCATGATAGTAGGCACCAGCGTGACAGCAGAAGGCGCCCACCAGGAGGGAGAGGACGTAGTGTTTCTGGGGGGCGTGGACGTGGTGGCCCCCGAGGTGGGAAATCGTCTATCAGTTCTGGTAGGTACTTAATGTGTTTTGAAGTACTGCTGCAAGAAGCACAGTTGAAATTCTGTTGCAAACTTTACTGCCTTGACCCAGGAACTTCAATCAGATGTGAAGAGCTTTACTCTTCCTAAATTTGGAACTCGGAATTAATTTGTCCCTGCATGTGTGGAGGGTAGCCAAAAGCCATATTGGGACAAATTTAAGTTTGGTTTCACAGTTTGAACAAGGAGGTAAATGGAGAACAGTTTTCACTGAGCTGAACTGTTGACCTATAGAAAATTCAAGGACTTCAGTTGCATCCAAAGGTATTTGTATACTTTGAGCCTGGGTGTGCCCATTTCCTGGTCTAACACCTCCTTCCTGTTCTAGGAGCTGTAATGACTCCTCCTTTTCAGATTTTCTTTAGAGGTTTGGCTTTTTCTCTGCAACTGTTCCTTACTGGGGCCAGGAAGGAATGGTCCATATGATGTGCATTCTGGATTAGACTGTCATTTTCTTCAATATTTCTAGTTCAAATGTTAAATGAACAGAATGAAAGGATCATGCACTTAATGTTATTCTTGTTTCTTTGTCATTTGCTTTAGTGTTAAAAGATCCAGATAGCAACCCTTACAGTTTACTTGATAACACAGAGTCTGACCAGACTGCGGATACTGATGCAAGTGAATCACACCACACCACTAACCGGCGTAGGCGATCTCGCAGACGAAGAACTGATGAAGATGCTGTCTTAATGGATGGGATGACCGAGTCCGATACAGCATCAGTTAATGAAAATGGCTTAGGTATGCAACTAGCTTACGGTGGAACCGAATGCATATTGCCTTATTTAAAAAATCATGCCAACCTGGTTCATTTTTTAATTAGCAATTTTATTCTACCTGCTGCCTTATGCGTCAAGATATTGCCCTCATCAGGTTTCAACCAGGACATTTTGGGCAAAATGGAATCCAGGAGGGCTGTGTAAAGCTGGTTTTCATTTGACTGTATTTTTAAAGATAAGGTTTAGTATCCTGGCATACAGAGGAGCTACATCACCCAATAGTTACCCAGCCAGTTTCAGCCTCAACGGGATGGAATAATGAGACATATGTTGAACTCATTTACATGACATCTGTCATGAACTTGAGTTGGGAAAGTCAAAAGAGCTAGCCCTTATTTTTGACGAACTAAGGTTTCTGTTTTACTGAAGTAAAGGCATGTGAAATTAACATCCCTTTTGCCTTTTTTAGGACTTGAGTGGTTGTGTTGCTGAAATTTGCTAAGTGAACTTTGGAAAGAAAGAAGTTGAGGTCAGGACTCAGGAGAAGAACCCTGGTTTCTTGCTCCTTTAAGGCTGTGATCCCAAACACACTTAAAAAATCAGTAGGACTTGCATCTATGTGGTTTCAGGTGTATGCTGTGCATCCAAGAACAGCCACTTTTGTTATAGCATACCTTTTATGCAAATAACACCAAGGAAAGATCTTTCAAATTAGAAATGGATTTAATTCCTTCAGCTCATGTTTTGGTATCAGCCTAAATTCATACCATTTTAAACATAGATGTATGTGGCTGCTTTTCAGTCCCCAGATGTATACATCTGCAGTGGTGTTAACTACTCAGAAGACTTTTTCATTTAAATGTGTTTTGGTTGTGCACTAAACTGCTAGCAAAATAATTTATCACAGAGATGGTTCATGGTAAAACTTTGCAATTGCAGATGATAGAGACAAAAAACCCCAGCGACGCAATCGTAGTCGCAGGCGTCGTTTCAGGGGTCAGGCAGAAGATAGACAGCCAGGTAACTTGAGTGGAGAGGTGGACCACCTCGGGTCACAAGCATGAAGGAATGCTTAATGTCTGTGTACTTCCTAAACTTATGTAGAGCTGCTTTTGGAAATAATAATTGCTTAATAACTAATCAAACTGCAGGATGAGAAACTGTCAGCAGGATGTCGTCTGGTTTTATAACATTCATGAAATGTTGGTGCCTTTTATTTGATATACCTTCAGTGGAAATTTCACTGAAATTGGAGGACAAATATCTCTGGATGGCAGTAAGGAAAGGTTGTGTCTTACTGGAAGTAACACTGTAAGACTGTCTGTTTCTTGGGCTTTCTGGCATTTGTTCTCAATAACATAAATGCTAGCCTGGTGAATATAGCATACCAGTTGTTGGGTAACTTGCATGGCTGGCCCGCCTGTCCTGTATTTTGAACAAATCTGATGTTCTCCAGTTCCACAGCTGAATTAAAGCAAAAGTAGTTGCATGTTCTTGTCTGGTATTGTGGTGTGATGCATTTCTTTAATGTGTACTAACACCTTATATATTCTAAAGGTGTAACAGCTCTTTCAGTCTAACTGTTCTAAGTTTTTTTTGGTAATTGTAAATGCCTTAGTTAAGTAGCTGATGACATGTTTTAATGTGTCCACTAAAGCATTTCTGTATTTTACTGAAGTAATTATTTGTGATACTTCAATAGCTCTTGAACAACTATAACAAGTTACAATTTTAAAAACAAATTAAACTGGATTTCATATCAGCCCTCAAAATATTGAATAGAACACATGATCTTGATCTGTAAGAACAAATGTACTTGAAGCAGAAGATGTAGTTGTATGTAAACTGAGAAATTTGTTTTCATATGGAAATCATCCATGTAGAAGTGTTTGTCCCTTCTCATAATGAGTAGAGTATTCCAAATCAGACTTGTGTTGTGACATTCACCTCCACTCCAAAGCAACTTCATTGCAATCCTCACCTTGCCCCTCTCTTTTCCCCAACATCTTTTTCAAAAAGTGAATGCAAGCCACTGGGCTCCCTATCTGTGGGCATTAAAAAAAAAATCTACACTCCATTGCTTGCAGTGTAGATCTTCAACCTCATAAGGGATGTTTACATTAATCTTCTCAAGCATTAAGAAATAAGCAGTAAGAAACTGCTGTGGAATTCTTCTTTGAAGGATCTTATAAAGGGCTGTCACTCAGACTCTGGACTATGTGTTTGGACCACAACCACCTTGTCTAACCCGTCCTACCACCTTCTTCCCAGCTGGGCCCAAGAAATTTTTTTTATTTTTTACAAGCTAGTCAAATCTGATTAAGTCTCCTTCAGCCTTTTCAGTCTCTTGGGAGAATTCACTTGAGACAAAGAATCACTGCAGTAGCTATCCAGTCCTTTTCCAGTAATAAAAGCCATAAAGAAAATACTGTTCTTTAAAAGGACTGCTGAAATATTTTGAAACAAAAGGGTAAACCCATGAATTGTTGTACTGTGTTTAGGATTAGCTCTGAATATGGAGCTTCAGGATAAGACCTGAGTTGTTTTGCTTTAGATTGCCTAGAATAGACTTTCAGGAACTTTGACAAATCTTCATTTGTTAACAAAATAATATAAATGCTGAAATCTCTAAATCAGAAGACCATCTGCTTTGTGTTCTGTGTACACCATAGGCATTAGAATCAGGTTTCCCTTGGTGTTGGCAGGCCAGGATAGCAGCCTTGGAAGGAATCCATATAATAGGTCTTTCTGGTCTGCAACCAGTCATCATTCTCTTTTTACACATGAAGTAAATTTAAAAATACTTTTTACCCCCACAGTAACAGTTGCTGATTACATATCAAGAGCGGAATCTCAGAGTAGACAAAGAACCCTCCCAAGGGAAACACTGTCCAAAAACAAGAAAGAAATGGTAAGAAATAGTGGTATCAATATAAGTTTCCATGTATTATTTGGGTTTATTTGCACCAATACAAGGGAATGTGACAATAAGCCAATTAGCCTGGTGCTCAGATCCATGGTGGCACAATAAATTCTCGTGTTGAACGTATATGCGTATCTTGTAGTGCCTGCAAAGTCCCTGTGTTGATCTGTGTTAGGGGTTTCACTTCTAGAACCAGAGATTACTAAATCAAGTTCTATGTTGATGAAGATTACTAATTCTATTCCTGTTGATAGTTTTGCTATTCTATTGCCTCTAAAGGGGCTTGTGTGAAAAAGGCATTTTACGTATCTCTGAATTTTGGCAAAAGTATGCAATGGGGTCTGATCACATACTTTCATATACAGTAAGAATGGAAGTCTGGGTTTCATAACTGGTTATTCACTGGCTTCCTCATCCAATTATTCCAATTGGATTTTAAAAGGAGTGCTTTAAGCATTTACAGAATGTATTTACAAGCAGACTTTTGTAGGCAGAAAATTGATGACGGGGTGTTAAAAGTGTGTTTTTAGGAAATTGATACCATCTATAGATTTTCTTGAAACTTGGAGGTGGGGAGGATAGCAATTCATTGTAATCATTTGCAAGTAGTGTTGTCCCTAAATATTGCTTTTTTTGTTTTGTTTTTGGAAAGGCAAAAGATGTGATCGAAGAAGTTGGCCTTCCTGAAAAGGCCATCAATGGTCCTGCAGTTGTTTCTGGGACTGAGCCTTCAAAGCTGCAGCATGATCCTGAAGAAAGGCCCGTCACTGTACAAGACAATGGAAATAAACAGGAAGAAGCTGTGTTGAATGGTGTTTCATAAACAGAGTTCCTAGTTTACAGTTCTTTTACATTACATTTTACAATAGTGCTCGTATAAGCTTGCCAAAGATAGAATATGGATCGCGAGTCTTGACATCGCACTTTCAGTTCCTCCATTTTGGAAAACAGAACAGGGAGGGATCCTGAAGAAATCCAATGTTGAACATACCTTGACACCAACTGTGTTATAAATATCATCAGATGTGCCTTGAGAATAGTAAATGTAACATTTAAATAAAAACAAATTGCTGGCTATAGGAAATGTTATTTTGTTTTCAAAATATGGCAGAGATGTGGGGGGGATCCCTAACATAACCTACTTTATGAAAGCATTAGCTGCTTTTGTTACATTTTTAATAATATGCAACCACTTCTTCACCTGAGGAAAACTAGAAAAATGCAGTCTAAAATATTTTGCACTGAATTGTAATTTCTCCATTAGTTTAGTCTGGAAACTGGTCTGTTTTAATACATGTTTTTTAAATGCTGTATGTAGTGGGGAAAAACTGCAGACCACTGGAATACATTTATTAAATTTTCAATCTGCAGGGATATTGGGTGACATTGGCAGTGACTGTTCTACATTGAGGCTTTGTTTGATTTATTTATTAAACTGTACAGTATTTAAAAATCAAACATAGCTTTAGTCAAAACACTTAAGATGAATTAGTCATGTCCATTCAGACGTAACCAGAACTACTGAAAAGATCAATTTCCAGAAAGTTTATTCTGTATAAACTACATACGTTAGTCCTTAGAGTATTTTTATTTTTGTTTTGGTTGTTTGATGTGCAATATGTTTTTGTATGCTGGTAGAAAAATAAACTTTGATCTTCCTTTGGTTGATCCTTAAGCATTTGCTACAGTCATTCTTTTAAAAGCTTAGAATCAAAATGCTACTGCTTGCCACTCTGGGGTTGAATAAGATGAGATAGCAAATATGTGATTGGATTTTCCCTTTGGTTTCTCTTCATTCAGTGAAGCTAGGAAGAATTCTTTTCCATGCTAATTTCCTGATTGAAATAGTTTCTGCTTTCCCACAACAGCAATTTATCAAACATGGGTGTGTGTGGGAGATAGCTTTTCGCCTACAGTTAAGTGAACAACCTTAAGCTACTCACATGCTTGTTTGTGTACGTTGGGGCAATTTTCCTTCTATAGGAAACAGAAGGAGCAAAGTACATGGCACCTCACGTGAATAACAAAGGTGTTATCCTGCCAATGTGAACATGTTTCCCATATAAACCATGCTTAAAGATTTATCCAATCATAATTGCTAAATTAGATCAAAGGAATGATACCAAGTATGCTTCCACCCAGTTCAGTTCACATGGGGGGGGGGGTAAGCTTGGGTTGTTGTAGTGTTACTATTTGAGCAAAGGTGAAACCAAGACTGCCTATCAAGTATCAGTGATGGGAATGTTCCAGTTTGACTAGTTGCAGGTCGCATCCTCCCAGAACAAAAGCAAAACAGCAATTAAGCACCTCCTTCCAATATACCTTGGTTCTGCTTCACATAAGGATCATTTCTCCCTCCACCTAAGTGCCAGCTTAAGGCTACCAAGTGGCTCTTCCATTCCACTTCAATCTAGTTTTGCATGTTGTTGAGTTTCTTAACTATATAGTATGTTTTTTCTGACTCACTTTTCTCAAATCTTTTAGATTGTAAGTCTGCAGGCCAGGACAATCCTATTTCTGCTCTAAAATTGCTTTGAGAGTCTCTTGCTGAAGAATGGGTAGCCCTAATACAATCAGTAAAATTCTTGGCCTGGAATACTAGACACCAAGTTCTTCTCAGGACCAGTGCAACAGCTGCCGCCTTTACAGCACAATGTTAGGGAGAATGTTTGCTATATTGAGGAGTGGGTTGCACACCTTAAGTTGTATGAGCTTGAATTTGTGGGATATATGAAGATATAAGGACTGAAAAACTAGATTTGCTGTGGCACTGCAGGATAAATATCTACACAGGACCTACATAGGTGTATTTCTCTATAGAACCTGTACAGATGGCAGAATGTAATAGATGATAGACATCAGCTTGAATTTCAGAACTGGTAGCTTGAATTTAAAGGCAAACCTGTCTAGCATGCAACTTTAAAAATAAACTGAGAGGGGTCACTCAGTCTTTCTTTAGTCTATGGCTGTTTTATTCCTGGTTTCTCTTAGGTATTCATTAAAGCTTCATATTCAGCAATTCAGATCACAAAAGCAGAGAACATTATTCAGATTACAAGCCACTTCTCGATGTGACAAATCATATCTGAAGTCATTTGAGACTATGCTTAAGTGGCCAAATTGCTCCCCCACCCCCGATCATTTTTGCCTTCTTGTGAGCTAAAAGACACATGGAGAAAGAGACGTGGTCAGCACTAGGAGAATCCCATGCTAAGTCCCTTGTCACCCCACCTCATTGTGAAAAGGAATAGCATGCAGGGGAATTCTTACTGTTACTTGCAATCAGGGATGCAAGAGTGATTCTTCCTGGGAAACAGACTTTGAGCAATCAGTCAGTTTCCAAGCACACAATTAGACACTGCACAGTGTTAGAAGTCCCCAGCTTCGTCTGCGTCCCCACCAGTTGCTTTACCAACCCACAGGGAAAGCAAATAACCCTAACCTTGTCACAAGTCTGGCATTGGCTAATGTTAAGTGTTCTGCAACTCTGAACTATAGTTTTACAGTACTGAGATTATTGTAGCAACTTTATTGCTCAGAAACCGTGACAATTATAAAAAAGCTGAAAGTGTAAATTCAGGTGCATATAAGGTCCATGATGAGACAATTCATACTACTGTTCACATTGTACCTGATGAGGAAAACGGCACATAGTAAAACTCAACAGATTTTTTTTCCAACCCATTCATCTCTGTTGGCACTATCTTGCTATTGTTGACAAATCATGGTAGCATGAACTTCACACATCTGCCTCTGATTAATAAAACTGGCCAACACCTTAGAACGCTTGCACATATCTAGACATGAATCAACCCAGTGACCCCTACCTTCTTTACTCTTTTACTGGAAGTTGTATAGTTAAGATTCAGTTTTGAAAATTATTGATATGACCTACAATGGAACAAGAAATTCCTCCTGGTACATATCATAACATCATCTTTTGTTGACTTGACTTTCTTCTTTTTAGAAATACACCCTTAAGTCATTGATCACATGATGTGTTTTCATTTCTTAGCTTGACCTTCCAGTAAGTCTTTAGCTTCATTGATTTTGGCTGCAATGTATGGAGACCCACCTAGCAAGGAGAAAAATAATGGATGTCATATTCTACAAAAATGAGTATTTGTCCCACCCTTTTGGCACATGTGCCATACATCTGTATATGAGTATTAAGTAAAACTAGCATAGGGAGAACCGTCAGAATAGCTAAACCCTTCCATAAGGAGGTATTTTTTCATGCAAAATATACTGACTGGGCAATATCCAGTGTAACACTATGACTACTACAAATTGCATAGACCACATCTAGTATACACCAATAGCATTTAGTGGTGTGACCGATTGTCTGAGAAGCTCAACAGTTAGTACAACATAATTTGCGTTTACAGTAGAGTTGCACTAGAAACTGCTATTTGATCATGTAACTGCTATAGATAACTGTTGTACTATCACTAGATACTATTTGATCATGTAACAATGGTATTGAAAAGAAGAGGGCCTTACCAGACTGAACAGAAAACTTCAAATTTCTCCCCTTATCCCTACATTTGCATAGCCTTCAAAAGAACCATGTGAGGTCTAGGAAAGCTCAAAGCCTGGCACAATACACAACTGTATTTTAGATCAACAGGGGGAACATAAATACGTTTATGTCAAAAAGAACTTGTTTCTTCTGTTATGATTTACCTTTGTCAGGATGATTCAAAAGCATGATTCGTCTGTGTGCTTCTCTGATTTTTCCTTTATTAGCTGTAGGGCTAATAATTAAGAAAAAAGAAAATAAAATCCATATTCAAAAGCTATGTGGAAGACAGCAAACTGGATAGCATTATGCCCATCAGGGCTGAGCTGCTTCATTGAGTGACAGGGATGAGTCCCCCTTCCCAACTGCTTTACCTAAGGCCACTCATACCAAAGCATGGCTGTGTGATTGTTACTGGGAAGTTATGCAGTATTTTTCAGAGTAGCCAAGAAGTATTTAAAGCAACACAAATCTAGAAAATTCTAGCTGCAGATACAAAGCAGTAACTTTGCAACAATGTGAACAGAAGGATGCTACAAAGTTAATCATATTGGAATGTTTCCTGCTCTTCAACTATACAAATCACAATGTAACATTTAAAACAGTAGCATCTAGGAAGGTGGCTAGAAAGCAGCTCATGGGCTCCTGCATATTTGGAAAACAGGCTCCTCTCGTTAAAACTGAAATTGTTGTTTTCTTTTTACCTCACTCCTAATATTAAAGCAGCTTCTCGCTTGGTCATTTTGGATTCGAATCCTCCTCTGTAATAGCCACTGAAGGTCTGTAATAAGAAATTGGTACTAAAAAAACTGTTAAAGAAAATCAGCACTGAGAAGCGAGAGAGCTGTACTTGTGCTGATGGGCAGTCTACAATGCTGGGTAAATCAGCCTTCCCATTCAGAAGTATTAACTATTTCAAGAGCCATTTTCTTGACAGAAAGGCAGGGACACATGTTGAATTAATAAACAATGCCCACTCTTTTACTTCAGATGACAACATCCAACCCTTCTGTCCTAATTCGAGACTAAACATATTTCCACAGATCTTAGAAATCAAACACATATATGCCCAGTATGCATCCTCTTGTAATTGCAAGTTTAAGGTTTGTGATGGACAAATTTGAGGTTTTATAAAGGAGAGAATCCCACAGTCATTCCTTAGTGATCTGTTTTGGTCCACTCACAAATGATGGGCTATAATAGACAAAGACAAAAGTAATAATACGGCTAAAGAAAACAGTGTAAAACAAACTCACTGCTTTTGGCAGAGACTGAAGAGCTTGCTTTAGCTGTGGTTCCATTTGCTTCATTGCTTTCAGTGCGTAACGACCTCAAAGAAAGGGAAGAATTCCAATTCAACTACTTAAGAGACTGATCTGCAGATTCTTCTGGAGCAACTGGCCAGCACTGATTGCCCAGGAGAGATTGAACAAGATGCAGTACCTCCTACTGGCGTAACAGGCTGAAGAGGGTGCAGACATAGGTAGAGTAATTCTTCCCTACTCCCAGCCTACAATTTCTTTCTTTCTAGAAATTTGGAAGGAATGCCAAGGGCAACCACAGCCTGAGGAACATAGCCTTTTAATAAGCCTTCCTTTAGGTCTTCCACAGATGTATGCATATCTCTTCAACTTATTCATCTTTACATTTATATCTTGACTTTTTCCCTCTTGTAAGGGAGCTTACATGTTCCGTTTCCTCTCCAATCTCTCAACAACTGTATGTGGTAGGCTGGACTGAGAGCCAGTGACTAAGTCAGTGACCTAGTGAACTTCACAATCGAGCTGAGGCCCAGTCTGACACTGCTAACCCCTAGAAGAAAATGGGAATTACCAGGAAATTCAATACCCACACTAAAGTTTGAAGGCTAACTTTCCTCAATCAAGCCAAAAACACTCAGTGAATGTTTATATCTTTCTGGGTCATGTCCTCCCTCTTTTTTCTCATCCTACAGCCTCTAGATCAGCCTTTCTCACTCTTTTTACCTTTGAGTAACTCTTGAAATAATTTTCATGTGTCTCAAGGAACCTCTATATAACAAATACTATAACTTCACATGCCCTTAGAAGTACCTATTCACATGCCCTTAGAAGTACCAGAAGATTTAATTTTATTTATATTATGATTATGATTATTTATTTTGTTAATATGTCAAACCACCTGCCACCCTTCCTAGAAGAACTGCTTTGTGGATTATGAGGGGAAAGGCCCCTCTAGCCCAGCCTGATATGCTTGTGAGAAGGGTCTTCCAGCGAGGGAAAAAGGCAGCCGCCGCTGCCTCCTCACTGTTGTTTTGCACCATGCCCCAGATATTGACATTCTCTGCCCGTGAAGGCTTCACTGGTGGCCCCTCCAACTCCTCCTTCCACTACACACTGACAAGGGCCCATTTCTTACTCCTTCACTTCAGGCTGCAAAAGGAGGATGTGAAATAAGGGCTGTTAACTGAAAATTTAATCCTGGACTCTCAAAATCCCCATCACACTGTTCTCCATGAGCCTGAGGCAGATGCGCTTCCCATCCTGGCCTCTTCCCTTGTGGACAGGACTCTCCCTGGAGCCCCTCCCATCTCTAGGCAACAAGGGCAAGCAGAAGGACTCCTCAGGAATGTGAAAACATAATGCTTGTTTTAAATAAATAGATAAATATATGCAGACACATGCAGATATATTCTCCCCTATGATCTCTTATGGAACCCCCAACAACCTTTTGCAGAACTCTAAGGTTCCAGAGAAGCCTGCTTTGGATTCTCAAAATCAAGGATGGGTTACATATAATTATCAGGCCATACAGAGCAATGAATCAAATTTTCTATTACTCTACAGGCCCTTCAGAAACTAAGCGCCATTTTGTTTACATTTTAGTACTGCCAACTGGAGAGATTAACTTGAGAAGAGAATGACAATGTATTATAAAACTTCACAAAACCAGCAAAGAGAAGCCTAATTTACACTTTAAAGAAAAAATATAATGATTTCCAGATACGTGGAAAGAATGCCATTAGCATTCATTGCTTCACAAATAAATCACAAATATATAATTGTGCAAAATAATCAGTCATACTATATACCTAAGACGGCTTCTTACCATGGGCTTATAATGTCTAATACCACGCAGGACAAAGGTTTCTGAAAATACCTTCTATGCACTATGTTAAGCAATGCAGGGAAAACAAAGTTAGCTGACCTTCAGCTACAGAATTCCCTTTTCCTGGAAGGTTGTCAAGGTTCTAGCAGCTTCAAGAAAAAAAATTAAACCGTATACACTATAATGGCAGAATAAAGTAAGGATGGTTTGATTTAAGTACAAGTTTCCCAAACTCTGAGTCAAGATCCTCTGGAGACTGGAAGTTACCTTTTGCTGACAGAAGTGGTAGAATGGGGGAATCCAGTCTCCTTTGTCTATCGTACTGCATGTTAACAGAAACATGAATTGCTAAATTCCTGTCTATCAATCCCTAGGAGTGTTGCTACCAGGGAAGAAAGCAAGAACAACAAGTTGAAGAAAAGGGGTAGGATACCTGCTAATATAAACCCGAATTCCTATTTGCCACAAGACACAGATTATCACGTACAGGAACAGCATGCATTCTCCTGCATTAAAGAATCTTTATGTACTCACCCTTGGGTGCTGGAATACACTTCAAATATAAGAGACCCAATTTAAAGAGCCTGAGACTTCCTGATTTAGGGTTAGAAATAATACACTATATTCTTTATTCCCAAATAATGTGGTAAGCCCGCAATACGGAATGAGGCAGAAAATGAAATTGCAAATTTCTAAGAAAAAAGGATAAGAAACCACTAAAATATATAGATTATGTACTACCGATGCACTCATGAAAGTTATGTGAAGCAACCCTTGAAGACTAAGTGCTAACCAGCACTTGACTGTAGTAATACGATCAGTTTACACTGTAACAGTATTCAGAGCAGTCAGAAATAAAGCATGCAATCCAAACACAAACCTGCATATCCAGCAGCAGCAATTGTGAGACCAACAGCTATCATAGTACTAGCCTAAAAAATAAAAATAAAAAAGTGGCAGGGAAGTAGGTAAAAAAAAAGTAATCATTCCAGTACATTGAGTATAGGTACTACTGGACTCAGTTGGTTTGGGTTAGAAAAATGACCTGATAACACATTAGATAGAGTCTTAATTAGCAGCTTTCAATCCCCTTACATTTGAATCCACACACAGCATACTGTAAACAGGCATTCTAGAGATCACTCAGCACAGATATTTATTGAAGTATAATATATCCTTGTGCAATTACTGAAACATGAATGCATTATTCAGTTTACAAGAAAGCAAAATGTTTTTGCATTAATTCAAATTTTCTTTCTCTTTCCTTTCCTACTTGTGGATTCTATATAATCCAGAAGCTTGCACCTTGCTATTAGGCTAGTCTCTGATTTCATAAAGATGACACAAGACTTCATCTCAAATGGTGGGACTTTATTTTCCTCCCCTCCCTCCACTAGCACAAGAATTAAGGTGCTGAAAGCAGAGGGCGAATCTTCCTCTAATAGTGTTTGCTCCATTGATGGAAGAACATACCAATGAAGTTGGTAGATACTTTTCTTTTTAATCCACTTACCTATTTTATACAGGAACACATATATTATCATTAACAAGGTGAAGGAAATTGAAAATTTTATCTATCTTTATTATTTTCATCCAAGGATTGATTTTGGTTCAATCTAGTCCCAATTTTCCGTTCCCACTCACAAACAGCTCCTTAAATCAATGAAAAGAATACTGGATTTATGGGTTCCCTTAGCCACAGATTTATTAACACAAAAATTCTATGCCCCTTAGATAGCATCCCCTTAGATACAGGATTCTTTGCATTCCCAGGTCTGAGATTGGAAAAAAGCTCTAATTTCAGAATTGCAGATAAGTGTTTGAATCCTACTCTGCCTCCCCTACAAGAAATAACCACACTGGCTGCTTCTCCAAGGCAGTAACAGTAACCTTGGAAAAGAGGTAAAGGGGCATTCAGGGCATGGCAAGTGGAGGAGATTGGTTTCATCAGGATATGATGTATCTTGGTAGCACTCCAGCCTCCTTCCCTTCCCATCCAGACTTAGTTAGACAATCTAAATCAGCTTTGCAGCTGAATTGCAAGATGGGAGATGAAGATCACCTCCATACACCTCCCATCCTGCATAGGATACTCATAATCCTCTGAATTTGGAGGCTTACATGCATCACCACTGGACTGTACCCTGAGTGACTTTGGGCAAATCACTTTTAACAGTTCAATCACTCCTAACAATTCTGTTTTCATACCTAAAATTTGTGGCAACTTTCTTATTCCCAAGGTATCAAAAAACCTAATATCTGCTTTTTACTTAATTATTTGCTTTGCCTTTTCCCACATTTTAACTGATAAATCAAGATCACTAGATTTTGTTAGCCTTTATTCACACATTTTGCACACACAGGTATCCTTCAAACATACTAATAGCTGTGTTTCCATGATGCTCTCACATACAGCTGAAGAAATGCCATATCAAAGGCTTATTTGTAATCACTGTCCCCATGAATGCATCTTTCAGATACTGCTCTGGTTACAGGACATCATGGAAATGAAACTCTTGTGTGTCTGCAGGAAGATATAAAAGGTAGAATAAGGTAAAGGTTTCCCCTTGACATTAAGTCCAGTCATGCCTGACTCTAGGGAGCGGTGCTCATCTCCGTTTCCTGGCCGAGGGAGCCAGCGTTTGTCTGCAGACAGTCTCCGTGGTCATGTGGCCGGCATGACTAAACACCGAAGTGCGCAGAACGCTATTACCTGCCCACCGAAGTGGTACCTTTTTATCTACTTGCATTTGCATGCTTTGGAACTGCAAGGTTGGCAAGAGCTGGGACGGAGCAACGGGAACTCACCCCGTTGTGCAAATTCGAACTGGTGACCTTTCAATCTACCAGCCCAGCGCACAGCGGTTTAAACCACTGTGCCACCTGCAGTCCCAAAGGTAGAATAACTGGTGTCTAAATGGGGGTGGGATGGGTTTCTTCTCTCCAGTATTTCAACTCATACTATATATGTGAGGCTTCCAAGTATATTTAATATTGTCAATTAGTTGATGGCTGGAGTCAAATGACTTAATGGGATTGTTCGTACACTGCTATTTTAGGTCTTAAGTATTTTGCTCACAACTTGAGCCTAACCAAAACACTGAAGCGTTAAGCACATGATGTATATGAATGCATGAAATCCACTGTTAGAAGGGTGGCATTTCTCTCAGGCTACTATCTGTGTGGCTAAATATTTATGGACATAAGAAGAGCCATGATGGATCAGATCACAAGGCTTGTCTAGCGCAGCATTTTGTTCTGGCAATGGCTGACCGGATGCCTTTGGGAAGCCCACAAACATGAAATGTGCACAAAAGCAATTTCTTGCTTGTGTTCTCCAACAACTGGAATTGAAAAACATACTGTCTCATACTATTGGAAATAATACATTGCCATCATTGATCACTCAGTCTTCCATCAATCCATTTAGTCCACTTTTAAAGCCAACATTTTATTTTGTGAATGCCATTGTTTAATTATGCACTATTTGAAAAAGTACATCCTTTTATCTGCCCTGAACCTTCCAAACTTCAGCTTCACTGAATCACCAATGCAAGAAGAAATATTCCTTTCTATCTACACTCTGTCTGATATTATATATCTCGATTATGTCCCTATGCCTTTATTTGTCCTTTTTTCTAAGATATAAGACCTTCAAATATTGTTATCTTTCCTAAGCTTTAGCTCCTTAACTGCTTGAGCTGGTTTTTTCAACGCATTTTCCAACAATATAAGAAAACAACAACCAGTTTTACAGATCAGGAAAACATTTACTCTACCTTTCAGGTATCCCAAGATGCCCCCAGAGATGTCAAATGGTCAAAATGTGTGACTAAAAGCTAACAAATCTGTGTTAAATGTTGCTGAATATGCTCCATAGTATGAGCAGATTACAAAAAAGCATGGTCAACCCCTTCATCACATGTCAAAACCTGGAACTCAGAAAGGTATCACTTCCAAGGATAGACCTTTGGTCCCATGATTTATCACCAATTACATTTTTAAGATAAATTTAATCATATCTAGACAGAATAGTTCTCCATTCTTGATTAACAGAATGCATGTCAATGATAACGTATTTATTAATTATAATGTTCATGGGCTGATAAATATGATAAATACATCATGAGAAGGCAAAACTTACTGAAGAAGACAATCATGCTAGGGAAAATAGAAGGCAGAAGAAAAGGAAGACCAAATACAAGATGGATTGAGTCCATAAAGGAAGACTCAACACCTTGCACTTAGAAGAGTTGTGCTGGGCTGCCATGGACAGTACAGTTTGGAGGGCTTTCATTCATGCAGCCACTGTTAAGTTGGAGATGACTTTACAGCACATAAGAACAACAAATTATAAAAATGGGGAATATGAGACCCCTCTATTTTGGAGCAAGTAAAGAGAAAAATTTTAGCAAGATGGATGACACTTCTAAATTAAACATCTAGCATGTTATCTATCTGGCTTAACAAACAGAATTTATAATAGTGGCTATTATCCCAGATTCATACTACTGTGCAATCCTGGGCACATCTTGAGAGTCTTACTGGCCTTGAAGGGAATTCACCTCTGGTTACACATGCATACAGCATGGACTTTGTAAAACTACAATCTTGATCACTGTTGACTCAGAAGCAAGCTATAGTGAACACACTACTTTTAAAACAGTGCTATTAGCCAAGGCATACGCTATTCCCACCTTCTCAAGCTATAGGAATACGGCATGGTCTAGTAGATAGTGTTGGCCTGAGATTCTGGAGAACTGATCGGGATGGCATAAGTGGCATCTGGCATTAGCAGGGGGGTGGAACTGATGGCCTTTCTGGACTCTTTTGACCCAGCTGTTCTGTGAATCTTCTTGACCGTGAACCTCACTGGGTCACTTTGGGCCAATCATGGCCCCTCAACTAAATCTACCTCACAGGGTTGTTTTGAGGATAAAACGGAAGGGAGGCGGGCTATGTTAGCCACCTTCAGTTCCTTGCTCCAGAGAGGGAAACAGGCAGAATATAAATGTAAAAGGAAATAAAACATAAAGAGGGGGCGGCCTATGTAAGCCTCCCTGGGTTGCTTGCAGGAAAAGAGGATACAAATGTAATCAATCAATAAAGGAGAAAAGAGGCAGAGGTGCAGGGCCATGTATGCCACCCCGGGTTTCTCGCAAGGAAAAGCGGGATATAAAGGAAGTCCATCATGTGCCCGGTTTGGGGAAGACCGCCGTCCTCGCCCTTCCGCTCAAGAAAACACGCGGGCTTCTTTCAAGGACAAGGCGAGTGGCGGGGGAGCAAGGGCGAGCGGTCGCGGTCCTGCCGGCGCCCCAGACCAGGCCAGACCCCACCGCCCGTTAGCGGCGCTGGCTGCCCTCCACGGGGAGGACCGAAGCGGCGGCAGTTTGTCCCCCACACTCACCATGGCTCCCGCGCTGCTCCGCTGACGCGGGCGAGGAGGACGGGGCCCCGGCCGCGCACACGGGCCGGGCCTCGGAACGCGCAGGCCCTCGCCCTTCTGGGCGCTCCTCAGACGCCCTGCCGTAAAGCAGCCCGAGGCCTCGCGGCTGTCGCAAAGCGCCGCTGCCGCCGCCCCTTCCCTGTTCCTTCCCGCCAAAATGCGAGGTGGGGACGGAGCCGCCGCAGGCCCGACGACGCTCGCGCACGGCCTGGGGGAGTCTCTCGGCCCCTTCAGGGTGTTTCCTGCGAACGATTTGTCGGCAGATGACCGAAAAGAAAACGAAAATGCAATTCAGGGCGATGCAATCCTTGGCGAATTGAAACAAAGTCATAATAGAAATGCCCCACAACTCCCAGCATGCCCTAGGCAGCAATATTGGGTGGGGCATGCTGGGAAGTAGAGTTTTTCTCCTGTCATGTCAGGCCGAGAATTGTGCTCTAACACCAAAGTATGCCCAAGAGCATAAGTCCAAGGCAGAGGTGGGGTCTGAACTGTGAAACACAAAACTGCTCTGGAGTTTTCACCTAAGGTGAACTGAGGAGGCTCAGAGACAAGTAAAGTGGCCAAGAAACAGTGCACAGGGTGGAGATAGGGTCTGAGCACCAATTGCCAAATGGCATGTTTTCCCTCACAAACTCAGCAAAATATCAGTTTCACTGGAAGCAAACACTGCACAGCAACCTCCAAGGAAAAAAAAAGGATGCCATACAGACAAACCTCAAACCATGCCACAAACAAGTGAATACCACTCACTCTAAGGCCAAACACAAAAAGCATAGACAAGCTCCTGGGACATGCACTAGCAATGCTTCACTGTCACCCTTTTTCTGGGTGGCTGGACACACCAAAAAGAAGCATGAGGCTGCAGTCATCATTTTTTTAACTTTTAAAGAATGCCTTAGGGGCTTCCATGAGCTTCAGAAGCATTTTTGGAAATTAACCTGGCACTGAAGATTGGCAATTCACTCTGCAGAATGCCAGTTTCCCAGTCAAAAGCAATAACTAGAAGGAACACAGAGACTGGTGGACACCAAGGGAAGTGTCTGTGGGCACCCGGCACCCCCATGGACAATCTACTGGGGATACCAGGTATACAACTTAATTACCTCTCTGCCCTTAACATCCTGGAAAGTCCCTTATTAGTATATATTTTATTTGTTTTCGTTATCTCTTTCATTTAAGCAGACAGATATATAAACACTTGGGGAGCTCTTAGGTAAGAATTACCACCTTATTTCACCCTGATAACACTTGATCACCCAATTTTTTATTGCAGAGGAAGAAGTGCTCATCTTCACTGCTCTCTGAAAAGGGAGCTTTCTGAAAGTGGGAGGATATAACACTGAAGAGTTCACAGAAAGAGATGAGCAAGGCTCTTTCTCTCCCTCTCTCTTTCTCTGCCAACTTTATACATACAGTGGTACCTTGGCTCACGGACTTAATCCGTTCCAGGACTCTGGTTGTGACCCAAATTGGTTGTGACCCAAGTCAAGTTTCCCCCATAAGGTTCAGTGTAAATAAGGTTAATCTGTTCTGTAAGTATTTTTTTAATCAGAAATTTTGAAACAAAGTGACAAAGAACAACAAAGTAACCAAGTACAGTACAGTACAGTGGAGAACACTAACCTAGGTGGGGGGGGGAGGTTATTGTTTTGAGGGAGAGTCCCGCTCCATAAGGACACTGGGGAGATGTCTTTCAGGGGTTTCCTCTCTTCTTTGTCTCTTTGCTGCAGGGCCAATTTCGGTGAAAAATCTGTCTATAGTCACTTGTTTTTTTCCTGCGCTGCATAACCCTCCAGAAATGAGAGACCACATTATTGTTCATCAGATTCAACACTGTTCGTTACAGTTATGTTGGGTGGTGCTTCTCAAAGAAATCCTGGCACTCATTCCATTTTTTCATAATGGATTGTCTCACATCCCTGCTAACCTCCTCCCTGTCTTCCTCTTCCTCAGTGGAATCCTCTTCAGCAAGTGCCTTCTGCTGCTCACTCTGGAGTTCAGCAAGTTCTTCTGTTGTCAGCTCCTCTATGTCTTCCCTGCACAAACACAACTGCGATCATGGCCATTTCCCCACTCAGGGGGTGGGGTGGGGAGATGGCTGCGATCGTGCTGGTTAGTGGGGGGAGATGGCCGAGATTGCGCCTGTCTTTCCTGCAGGAGTGCCCCCGTGATCATGCACATCTTTCCTGCATGAACGCAACTGCAATCGTGGCCATCTCCCCACTTGGGGGTGGGAGATGGCCATGATCTTGGTTGCCACCCAATGCAGAGTTCATGACCCAAGTCAAATTTTTCATGAAATTTTTGTTCATGACCTGATTTGGTTGTGAGCCAAGGCGTTCGTGAGCCAAGGCACCACTGTATTTTGAAGTAAGGTCAACTGAACACACTGGGACTTTTGAGTAAGCATAGACAGAACTGTGGTGTTAAAACTGTAAGATGGGAAAGGGATATACAATTGTTAGGCATAAATTTGATGCTACTTGTGCTGGATATTTCTGACACCCTAAACATAGGTGATCTAACCAAATGTAAGATTGCCCTTATGAGTTCTCAAAAGCAATCAGTTTTGGTTTTTAGATTTTGTAACAACCTGAAGAGTAGTGTCTCTTGATTTTGCTGTCTTCTGTAGCTTCCAGAACCTAATCAGAAGTGGAAGAATCAAGAGAGGAATGATGATTTGTTTATTAAATTACTTCAGGAAGATGTTTTAAACCACTTAAGCTCATAAATCATCAGGTAAATCCAAACTAAGTACAGAGCAAAGGGAGCTAAATCTCATACTTACAAACTTACAGTAGGGAGCTGAATTACAGGAGGGAAATACTGCAGAAACTTGGAGTTCTTGCAGCTTTGCTCTTATGGATTCCAGAGTGGCTGAAGAGAGTCTTAACCATATCCTTAAATTAAATCCAAGTTTAGAAAGGAACAATAAAAGCAATACATAGTTCTGTGCAGACCCAGCTAGTGGAAGGGTCAGCTTATAAACAAAAAGATTTAGGCTAGCTTCATTTTGGGCACAGTATAGTCTCTAGGGTTTTGTTTTGTTTTGTTTTGTTTTGTTTTCCTTATAGAACATTTCATAACTAAAGCTCAGAAATAGACACATCCAAAGTTTGAGAATTCAGTTTATCAATTAGGTTTAAAAAGCACAAAAGGAGACTTAGCCCTTTTGCAAACCACACCCCTTCCAAACCCCAGTGTCATCTGTTAGCATCCCTAGGCGAGCCTGAAACACATCGTTTCCAAAATCTTCTGACTTTTGTCACTGTGGACTCCATTCAACTACTTACCGTATGTGACTTCTGGAGGCTTATTTAGACATGTCACAGCGAAGGGGATGATTACTTATTCAATCAACAAGTGCCAGAGGTTTTTTGTTTACTTTTCTACCAGAACAAAAATATTTTGCACTTTCATAGCATTGAGTATCTTGTGAACACAAGGTTGATAGCATTACCAATTAAGTCCATTTCCGTTCCAGGCTATAACACAACAGAATGTGAGAAAGTGAAAGGGGTGGTGGTGAATACTAGTGCAAGGCAATGTCCTTAAGGAGATAGGTTTGCAAGGAAGATAATTCTCTGAGGGTGAAGAGGCTAAGTGATGAAGATTCTTAGCCCCAGTGACAAAGTGTCAGCACAGAAGCTTATTAAGTGCTCCTGCAAATTTAACAACAGGGTGAAGATGGGCAGTTGACTCTCTCCTTCTTTCTCATAGTTAGTTACTCTAAATAAATAAATAATCTAAGGTTTACAGAAATTCCCCACCATCTACTTGCAAACAAGTTTACTCAATTTCTTGTCTCTGATTGGAGGCATGGGTTTCCCTCTGGGGGAGGGCAGGGTGCATTCCAGTGGAGCAACGCTTAAGAAACCAAGGTTCAAGTTAGATGCCAGGAAGTACTTCCTGACAGTTAGGACACCTAGGGCATGGAATGGGCTTCTATGGGAGGTGGTTGAAGCCCCAGTGGTGAGGGTGTTCAAGGACAGGCTGGACATGCACATGGAAGCCATGTCATGAGTGAAATTGGCTGGAGCCGGGGGTCAGACTAGATGGCCTGGGAGACCCCTTCTGACTCTTTCCATTTTTATGTTGCTATGTAACTTAATTATCAAGGTCAAAACCCCCAAACTGGCAATAAAGTATGCTATGAAGATCGAAAGCTAGCAAGGATTTAGGATCTATTCAGTGTATTGTATTGAGGGCTGCATGTGTGACAGTCTGCCAACTGGGCAGAAGTCATGGGTATATACTTAGTGTAATGAGCTCCTGGTTCTTAGGTAACAGGTTATTTCCCTTGAAGCCAAGGATGCTGACCTAGAGGTTCTAAGAAAGGCAGAGAGATTGGTGGATAAGACCTTCAGGGACCTAATAGTGGTGTCCCAATAGCTAGGTGACAACTCCTCTGCTATCTTGGAGAATCTGGGTCTCTGGGTGGAGGATGTTACTTTGAGAAAGAGGGAAATGATTCCTTACAAGGGATCTATTTCTTGGAAGATGAGAAAACATTCTTTCACGCTGGGGATGTGCTCCTGGTGGATAGGAGACTTCTGCTAGTGAGAGAGTTGTTCATTAGATACATAAAAGGCTGGGGATTTGATGTGTGTATAGTTCACATAGCAAATTGCCTGCCTGGTACAAATCACCGTCTATATAACTTTGCTATCTAGACGTTATCACCAATCCCCTTACAGATCATTTTGTTATTACCAATCACCATCTAGATAACTTTGTAGAATGTGCTAGGGTGGTGTCAGTTGCCTTGGTCCATGTTGGTGCCATTGACATCTGGAAACGTTCTCAAGAGTTCTTGGAAGCCAATGCTAAGCAGAAGGGTGAGATCCAGGACCACGAAGGTGGCTCTCACTGCACATGCAGTACATGCAGGTACAATGCATGGCCAGTTGTCCAAAAATTGACAATGATTGATCTGGCAGGGATCATTTACTTGGACTTTCAAAGATGTTCGACAAAGTTCCTCACCAAAAATTTCTGAGCAAACTGAGCAGTTGTGGAATAAAAGGACAGGTTAGCTTATGGATCTGTAACTGCGTAAAGAACAGAAAG